TTGATGGTTTTTGGAATCAAGAAGCAAGTCATTGAATAAATTGGCAGGGCATTCACCACAGATTTGATAAGGACTTCTTTACCTGCAGGTGATAAAAACTTGGATTTCCAGTTCAAAATTCTATTTTTCACTGAGTGCTCCACATAAGAAAAAGTATCAATTTTGGATTTTCCCAACCCCAGAGGTAATCCCAGGTATTTAGTGGAAGTGTGGACAGAGATGCCATTGAGGGTGTTACAGATTTGCCTTTGAATACGGGGAGGGGTGTTTTTACTAAAGAAGATGGAAGATTTAGAGAGGTTGACAAGCTGACCAGTGAATAGATGGTATTGGTTAAGGATTTCCAGCAACAGGAGAGCTTGGTCATTAGAGGCTCGGGAAAAAAGTAAGGTATCATCTGCAAAAAGGATATGGGTGAGGTTAGGGCCATTTTTACTGATTTTGAGACCCTTCCAATTCCCATTGGAGACTTCAGCTTTAATCAGGCTAGAGAAAATCTCAGAGATCAAAATGAAAATATAGGGGGACAGGGGGTCCCCCCTGTCTAATACCTCTGCTGGCTTGAACAAAACCCTTGGGAGATCCATTAATATTGAAGGAGAAGCAAGAAGAAGAAAGACAAGCCATAATCAGATTAATAAAAGAAGAATGAAACCCTAATTTACAGAGGATTTGGCTGACACAAGGCCATTCAACCCTATCAAAAGCTTTAGACAAATCTAATTTAATAGCCATATAAAAAGAATTGTCAGATCTATGCCTATTGAGAAAATGCAAAGATTCATGGGCAATAATAACATTATCAAGAATTTGCCTTTCTGAAATGAAGGCTGATTGACTATCACTAATGCAAAGAGGCAACAATTTTTTAAGCCTATTAGCAAGAATTTTAGAAATAGTCTTGTAGAAAACACTACAGAGACTAATAGGTCTATAATGAAAGACAAAAATAGGGTTCTGGATTTTAGGGATGAGAGTAATAAGAGAGTGATTAAAGCTTTTAAGGATTCTACCAGATTCAAAGAAACTAGAGACAGAGGCATAGAAATCAGCCTTAATAGTATCCCAAAAACAATGGAAAAAGGTAGAAGTCATACCATCAAGGCCCGGGGCTTTGCTACTATCAATGCTGAAGAGAGATTCTTTAATTTCTGCCTCCTCAACTAGGGCTAATATCTCAGAGTTCATGTCTGCCGTGATGACTGGATTAATATTGTTCAACAGATGGTTACCTCCTGAAGAGCCTTCAGAGGTAAAAAGCTGAGAGTAAAATTTTTCAATACAGTCAGTGATATCATCTAGAGTGGAACAAGGAGTGCCATCTTCTTTGAAAATCTTCGAGATGTTGTTGGTTTTTCTTCTTTGAGTAGTCTGGGCATGGAAATACTTGGAATTCTTATCTCCATTTTGGAGCCAACTTATCTGGATTTTTGGCTCCAGTACTGCTCTTCTAGGGTAAGCTCCAAGTTGAGCTGCCTTTTGCATTCACTCCAAACTTTCCAATCCCTGTTGTTACCAAGATTTCTTTGCTGCTCCAACACTGCTTGAAGATGCTGGATTTTCTTTTTTCTGTCAGAATTAAAGTCCTTGCTCCATTTCAGAAGTTCCACTCTAGTGTTTTTGATCTTGGATTGAAGGTTGAACATAGGAGTACCCTCATGGGTTGAAGACCATGCTGTGCCAACAACTTCTTGAATTCCAGGTCTGGAGAGCCATCTTTTATCAAAAAGAAATCTCTTATTTGGATGATTTTGAATAGGTTGAGCTTTCATAAGAAGCAGGCAATGATCTGATGAAGATCTGAAGATATTGTGAACTTGGGCAGAGGCATAGTAAGATGTCCAATCCATGGAGGCAAAAATTCTGTCAATCCTTTCTTCCACATGCTCTTCACCTGCTCTGCAGTTCTCCCAAGTGAATGGGTGACCTATTAACCCCATGTCATGACCTCCCAGATTATGGATGAATTCATTGAACTCTCTGAAAGAAGATTCTGGTCTAGCTTTGCCACCTTTTTTCTCTCCAGATCTTGCTATCTCATTCCAGTCTCCACCCACAAACCAAAATTTGCCCCAGTTCTGCTTTTCCTGAAGAAGGAACTCTCTCTGCTCAATTCTAGTGGCTTGGTCTGTGCTGGCATAGATGAATATACCCCGGCAGGAAGCTTGCAAAATAGGATCCCAAAAATGAACTTGGAAGCAAAAGGAACATTTAAGGATCTGAATAACCTTAATGGAAGAGTGCCAAAGAAGGAGAAGACCTCCACTCTTGCCATTGGGTTCAAAAGAGGACCAATTATCACCTACACCTAGGTTTCTGCAGACAGTCTTAACAAAATTATATTTTTTTTTTTGGTTTCTGAAAGGAAGGTAAAAATTGGGGTGTGGAGTCTCAAACTCTCCTTTAGTTGAATGGTGTATTTTTTCTTGGCAGAAGGGTGGGTGCGCGGGAATTGAAATGTGTATTGGAGTCTTTGGAGAAGCATTTTATTGTGTTGTGTGATTAAAAAATAAATAAAAATTGTGAGCCATTAGATTAAAGTAATATCATCCAATGGTTATTATAGCACACAGGAGAGTGTGCTGTTTTAGTTAGGGGCCTAGGGCACCCCCAATCCCTTCCGCCTCCAAAATTCCGTGTTGTTTATAATAGTCTTTACTCCGACCTCAACTGATAATTTCTCCCTATCTCTCACAAAATGAGGAAGCTCAAGCCTCACGAGAAGAAACTGTTAAAGAAAATCAATTTTTTGGAATGGAAGAGAGAAGGCGGCCAGAGGGAAAGTTTTGTAATCAATCGCTATCACGTCACCGGCAGAGACGACTATAAAAAGTACTCTCTC